CCCTGGGACACACAAACCCCTCCACCACGATAAGGTTGCGATTCACGGAGGAGACATTTTGGGTTATTTAGACCAAAATACTAAATTTTGCTTTACAAGGGCCTGATATCCACTTACGAGGACATTATACTGCTTCTGTTCTATCTAAATTTAAACAAATATCCTCATATATGGAGCTCATTTTTCTTAGAAACAAAAATTAGGTAAAAAAAAAAATCTGGTAATTCTTTGTTTTTACATTCTTCAGGTCCCAATCAGCCCAAATATCAAGGAGAAGAGTTCAGGTCTTAGGAGGTTAAGGCTTTAAAATTGCAAAGAATGTCGTAGGATTATAAACCTGTTGATTGGTTAGATTAGTGGATATAAAATGGACAAGGAGAGCAGAAGGTCCAGAGTTTGAGTCACCGTGGGTTACATTTTGCTTGTTTTACTCATTTCATTGAAGAAAGAGCAGAAGGATTCCCAGCTGCTATTCTGGAAATAGTCTCCAACATCAGCACAGCTTTCATTTTTTCATTTTCAGCCTTCAAAATGTTCACAGTTTAAGCCTTTTTTATGCGAAAACATGTGAAAACATGAACACCAGGCTTTTACAACAGTTAACTTAAAGTGTGTTGATTAAAAACTTGATCCTCCGTTAGGCTTGGCAAGCCGCTGGACTTTAATAAACTGAAGGAATCTCTGGTGTGTCTTACCTCCTGACAATATGTTTCTTATCTCGTAAAAGCAGCAAACAGTACCTGGCTCTGTATCTGTGAGGCCTGCTTGGCGTGCTGAGTTTGCAGAGTTTCGGGCATCACAGAGAACAAACTGCTGCTGGTCTCCTGCCTCCCTGACTTCTTATACTTTGTCTGAAGATCACATAAAGAATAAGATCAGTTTCTTTACTGCTTTATAGGTTTGAGCTGTCGAACATCTGAATCTGCAGCATAAACATTCACATTCTCAGTCCCAACGTTACTAAATTAGCTTCATCATGTTTGTCCAAATTAATTTAGAGCAGCTTTATGTAAAACTTACAGCTTCTTTCTATCTTTCATGAACACATTTAAGTGTTTTTGATCATCCTCTCAAGTTTCCTTCATCTCACCTCGCTCTGCAGCTCAGACACCGCTTTAGCAAACTTTGTCTCAGCGGTTTCAGGCAGCTGAGAGTAGAAACTCTGAGACATGCTCTTCATCCCCTCCTTGTACCTTTTCTACAATCAAAACAGAAAACAGGATCTGTAACATGGGATTAAGAAAAACAGCTTTAGAAATGTATCTAAAGAAATTATTAGACATCAACTTCTGACCAATCAGAGCCTTCTTTCAGACTTCATTGCCATTTTATTCACAATCATTTGCTTCACACTGTCAGTATTTAACTGTGCTGCGTCTGTTCTGTCCTCCTGATCACACACTGAGGACTTGGCTGTAAAGCACGATGCGTGAACAGCACCCCTCTAAATGCCACACAGTGAATCCAACACTCCCACAGGTCTGCAGTGGGCCCAGTTGGCTTTCCTTGATTAAAAGAAATAAAGGCTGAAGTCATACCAGTACCACACTGGGATTAGTCAGAGTTACGCTGGGGAAGCCAATCATCACTCCACTCAAATCACAGTGTGAACGTCACTGAATAACTGTTAGTCATTTCATCCTGCAAAGCTACCAACTGAAGTGTGGATGGGGAAGTTTGTTGTTTATTAAATAGTTAACTAACTAAACTAATTACTTATTTTACCATCTACTGAGCTCATCACGTCAGCAGTGCTTAGCTGGATTTGTCTTCACTTGAGTAATAGTTTCATCATGATCACACACAGCAGTCACAGGGTTTGTAGCTCGTGTTTAATACATGCAGGTTATTGATACTTCATGATGTCTGATCATGTTTTGAATTAATGCTTCTTTCAGTCGTTATTAGAGTTAACAAGAGATGCACCAGACCTGCATGTGTACGGCATCATTTTATGTATTATGACAGCTTTAAGATTTGAATCTGCAGGTTGGTCTAAAGCAGGGGTCTCAAACTCAAATGAGCCGTGGGCCACTTCAGTGTCCAAGTAGTACAAAAAACCAAACACGAAAACACCCACTAATATTTCCTAAAATGTAGTGTTTTGTTTGTTTTATTTAATTCCAAATATTGTGTAACAAGACAAAATTGCAAACGTGAACACAATTTTTTTCTCACTCTTAACTATCTGAAGCCTTTCAGTTTCAGTTGTCATATGCAAGTTAGCACAGTGTCAACACTGCAAGGAAATGTATTTGACGAGCAGCAGACAGTCACTCAGCAGTGTAGTGCAGTCGTTTCACTGAACTACCAAATAAACAGCTCTTTCTGGCCAGACACGTGCTGCAACAATTTTGTTTGTATTTAACAAAATAAAAATGCAGACATTAGCGTAAACATTAGTTTTCGACTGCAAGTGAAAATTGTTTTCTTTCTAAATAAATCTCTCACTGAACTAACACAGCCCTCATGTTTGCACGCTCTTGGGTCCGCAGCTCCGAAACGTGGTAAGGAGACTCTGGCTAATAGTTTGGGTTCCTGTCGGGCTCGTGGAACGAGCTTTACTGTCTGGATCAACTTTGCTAGCGAGAGACAGAGAGAGGCGTTGAAAGGCTGCTCCAGCAGAACTTTATTGTTTCGGAGGAAAACACGAACACGGTGTACAGTCGAGTCTTAATAGCTTACTGGGCTCGTCAGGCACTCTTTTAGGCTGCAGTGGTTATTTTTATATTTACATGCTTCCAGCTCCCGTTTCTGCTCGGTAGCGCCTCCTACTTTTCGACTTTCTTTTTTCCTCCCTCCCACACGCTCTCCCTGCAGCACGGACTACACCGCCCATGACGCTACAGTCTTAAAGGGCCATGCCTGTAACACTCTGTCATGTATTAAATCATTTTTCGTATAATAATTAAAAAATAATAATTCTTGACATCAGCATGCATGTATTTGAGACCCCTGGTCTAAAGCATCCCTGCCGTGTTTCTCTGCACCTACTTGGCTTTGCAGGTCGGCGACCTCTCGGGCAAACTGGGTCTCCAGAGTATCAGGGAGCAGGTGGTAAACTGGACATGACATGTACTTCTTCACAGCCTCTTTATATGAGACCTACGTGACACAGAGGAGACAAAATATAGACTTTCACAAATAAACATTTTTAAAGTAAGCTTTACCACCACATGCTTCTTCTCAGTTTGGTAGTTTGGATCGAGCTTCACGGTTAAACGTTCATGTTAACAAAAGTTTTTAGACTTTTGTCAACAGTTTTTAGTCATATTCCTGCATACCTGACTCTGTAGCTGGGAAGCCTCTTTAGCGTGCTGCGTCTCCAGAGTTTCAGGTAGTCGGTGGTACAGAGATGTCGACGTGTCCTTCTTACTGGCCTTTTTGTATTTTGCCTGAAAGACACAATTTGCACTGGAGATTTAAGTGCAGTTAACTCTACACCGAGGCTCCTACCTACCACAGAAACATAAAGACTATGAAAATACAAATTATGTCTTGCTCTTCCACTTTCTTGAAGGTAGTGTTAGCCTAAATTAGAGGGCAACAGGCTGATATGGGGAGAAATCATGTGGGCGTTTGAACCTAAAAAAATCTCGTGACAGTTGGGGGCTTGTCCGGGATATGTTTGTAGAATTAGTTGTGTCACTGTTAATAACCAGTTTGTTAACCTGGTTTGTTAAGCAAATAATAAATATAGATAAATATCTATATTTATTATCTGCTTAGCATTTGTTTAAAGCTACAAATATAGCTTTTTATTTGGATACAGGCTGAGATGGTTGCCAGTTTTAGACTGATTATAATAAATTCCTGTAAATTACACTGACTATTTTAATTCTCAAGATAATACCTCCTTAGTGCCTTAATGAAATGACTTCTTATATTATTATCTATAAATGTAAGAAATGCTGAAATAGGTCCCTAACATTTTTAATTGTAGTATATAAAACCAGACACTCGTGGTCTGACGTGCATTTACCTTAAAGATGATCTATGGCTTATTTGGCCTATTTTATAGGAGCCAGACGTCATGACATCATGCATCTCGACTGAACTCAGTATTTAATTCAGCTAGAAATTGCAAATATAAAAGAAATTGTAAATATCACCACAATCTACAAAGATAATAATAAACAGCGGTTCAGTGAATCATCTCCGGGTTATTCTACGAGACCTGACTGCACTTCGAATATTCAGAGCGCTCACCTCGCTCTGCATCGCCGTCAGCTCTTTAGCATGCTGGGTGTCGAGGGTGTCGGGGAGCAGAGAGTACAAGTTGAAACTCATCTCTTTCATATCTTCTTTGTACTTGACCTTGTAATGAAGCAAAGCAGAGCCAGCAGGATGAGAACAAAGAGTTCCTCATTCACACAGATATGTTTTATTATTACAGCAGGATCACATCATACAGACTTCTTGTCTATACAGGTCACGTTTTGTGTGAAAGCTTACTGAACTTATCACATAATCAATCTGGAGACTGAATTCTCCAGACAGACCAGAGCTGATCGAGGTACTTTGTTCATTTGATGATGACAAACATTTCTACCTAAGAGCAGGTAGAAATCGTACCTCACTCAGCATCTCTGTCTGCTGACGAACAAACTGTGTGTCGTTGGTTTCTGGCATCAGGTGGTAAAGGCTGGGCCCATCTTTCTTTAAAGGCTGCTTGTACTTCAGCTAGAACAGATGTAGAAGAACATTATTTACAATGTCTTTAATCACTTTAATAAGAACATCCATATCCTTTTCTGCACAGGAATCCATTCAAGACAGTTGCAAGTGTAACACTTAACACATGGCTGAACTTAATACCAACTACTAAGTAATAGTTACTACTTAATAGTACAAGTTCCTCAAAGTTTGCACCATGTGGGAAAAGCAATACCTTGATACCTCTGAGTAGAGCTGCACGATTAATTGTTAGAAAATCGCGATTTCGATTCATACTTATGTGCGATCTCATTTCCAAATGACAACGATTTAAAAAA